CAAATGTGTGACATCTACTGTCTGCTGCTCGTCTACAAGGTTTTCAGCTTTTGCGAAATAATAATTGACCATTTATCCATTGTGGAATTGGTCGCTTTTAAGGACAAGCGGGCTAATGCAGGTTTCGGGGGTTTCTAGAAATCTTGACCTACACCAAAAGTGGGTATTGCCCTACCTATTGGAGAAGTTTGGTTTCCTTGGTGTGTATATTTGTTGGGTTATATAGAAATCTCTTGTTATCTTTTAAAGAAACTGAACAATGGTTCAGAAACTTTACCTTCGATTTTTTTTAAACAGCATTTTCGGGATAGCCCCCTTGTGCTTAAAAGCGACCAATGTATCTTTCCCATTTACCGATTCAACATCGATGTGGAAGATTGGTGTTATCAAGTCTTCGTTTTATCTGAAGTCATGTTCAATGTGATAACCCCATTTTTATGGCCACTTTTCACGTGGGTTCATTCTGGGCAGTAAATGTTGATATCTGACCCGAGTGTGTGTCTTAAGTGGTGTGAGATTGTTATATCATTTCTACGATATCTTTATCAGTCACTGTATGTGGGTGGTTGGCGGGTGCTCTGGTGGGATTTGCTCTTTTTTTCCCCCTATCAAACGTCTATCGTCCTTATCTCTCCTCTTTCTTTTTTGTGTACGGTATGTTACTATGTTGTAAAGCATATTCTATTCTTCGGCACTTTTAGATGACCTTATTGTGTTGCAAGTGCCGTAAAACTCTTACTAAATCTGAACTCATTTATGGTCACTTTTCACGTGGGTTCATTCTGGGCAGTAAATGTTGATATTTTACCCGAGAGAGTGTGGTAAGTGGTGTGGGATTGGTATATTACCATCGTATTATTTCTCCGATATCTTTATCGGTCCCTTTATCTTGTTGACCCGTTCTCTCGTCATTGATGATAGGAAGTGCTGACTGACATGTCGACTGAGTATCGTTTATTGCCAGGGGGCACTCATGGCCTAGAGGTTAAGGTGTTCGCCTCTCATTCAAAGATCCCGGGTTGGAATCCGGGTTGCGACGGATACATTTTCTTCTCTAAAATTGCCTCCTTTCACCTCCTTTCCTGATCTCTAGCAATTTTCTGTTGGCTGCTTTCATGTCCACTTTCTGATCCCACCCCCTCACCTCCTTTGCCCCCTCCTCTTGGCTCCTGACTTCTTCTACAGCCTTTCTACTGCTACTCCTTGGTTCCTTCTTGTTACTGTCTTTCAGCCACTCCCCTGATCTTCTGGTAGAAAAGATGTACACCTAGCCTTCTCGGACTAGGGCGAGAAATCTCGGGGGTACCGTGTGCAAGTTGCGCACGTTAAAGATCCTTTGGTGGTCTAAAATCGATAAGAGTAGGCTTCAGCCGCCACCCGGGCTAAATTCAAAAATTCATATGAACTGAAAATGTTTAATGTGTCCCGCGCGCTCATATTATGACCTTACCAGTGTGCAGTTGTGAGCGCCATAAAACACTTAGATCTACCACACAAAAAAAGAAGAAAAAAAGTATACTGCCTCAAAACTGATGGCCTCTGTCACTCAAGTATTGATGTCAGTGGTTGATTCGCAAAGCATCTCATTCCGTCTCTCTCTCTCTCTCTCTCTCTCTCTCTCTCTCTCTCTCTCTCTCTCTCTCACTCACTAACTCTCTTTCCTCCTCCCTCTTGTTCCTTTCTTGAAGTGTCTTTTACAACTCCCCTTTCTATGTTTCTCCAACGTTTATTGCGTCTTTTTTAAAACATTTTCTTGGTGGAAAAAAAAAACGTTGTGGAGCTGTAGTAACCTTTAGATTTGTTGCCCCCTTCTCTTTCACACACACACACACACACACACACACACACACACACACACACAC